AATTCGACTATGGGTTTAGTTATTTGACTATTGGGCCGAAAAATCAACAAAATCCTATATCTGATAAGTGATGGCGGCGGATTTGTGTTTTAATATTGTTAGACCATCCCATATCATGTAATAAACTATCTCATTGATCTAATTCGATTATGGATCTCGTTAATCGACTATGGATCCCGTATTATTCAACCACATAGTATATTAATAATTTCATATAGTACATTAATCTGCTATGATAGTATATTACGATTATGATTATAGTAGTGATATGGAATTGTGTTACAAACAATATACCACTAAAATGACAAGAACATTGAGAACAAAACCAACGTAAAGTAATTCCAACATAACCAATAAAATAGTACATTAATAATCTCATAATTTCAATCTAGGGTTTTGATAAAATACTTAAAACACATCATAACACAATCAAACCAATATGTCGAGTTAAAAAACTCTAGTACATTAATAATCTCATAATAGTATAATAAAATGATAATGGTAGTATCATACGGTATTTATAATAGTATACTACTGTATTACAACGGTTTAACACTTAACCGAAGTTACCGAGCCATTACATCGTAAACACGACATTAGTTAAAGGGAAATTCGACATCAAAGCGTAAATATTGTTACACAGGCTCTTCATTTGGCCCAACTCTTTGTTGAGCTGCTCGTTTTGTTTTCTGAGCCTCTCGTTCTTTCCGATTAGCTCCGCCGTGCTTCCGCTGAACTCGCGGACGGTGCCGGGGGAATTAGATGAGGAAAGTACTTGCTTCTCGCCGGAGTCCGACGGAGACACCGTCCGCTGTGGTGCAGCGTCGTAGCAATTTTCCGGTGCTGGATTTCGCACAACAGCCTTTTCTCGTCTTTTCGAAAGCATTCATTGGAGAACTCCCATTGATCAGGCATAACCTTCCCAAATCCCTAAAAATTCATCAGATAAGCAACTCAATCAATAACCGAAAAAAAAAACCAAAATTCCTCGTTACAAATCGAAGGATTCGATTAGCAAAAGCTCACGTAAGTATTCAGTTGCCGAACGAAACTGGAGAAATTGCTGTGCTTGAAATACTTGGGCAGCAAATCTCTGGCAAACTCACGTAATTTGGCCCAACGAAACCGCCAATATACTCACGTAAATTTATTCATTGATTTTAGGCAACGTATCAGCAATCTCATATCACGTAGTTAAGGAAATAAATGCCGTTAAAAAATAAAGCAGGGGTATTAAAGGGAAATTAAATAATATATTGTGTCAAGTTGGCATATTTGGGTGTATATCAAAAAGGGAAAAAATAATTGGATCTACCTCATTAGAAAATATGAACAAGGGGGTTATCCCTAATAAACCATTTTTTATATCCACATTTATTCGTGTGCCAATTCTAATATACCTACGTCTTTTTTGTTTTATTTTATTTTATTGGAGATATTTAAATTTGAGAGTGATATATTGTGGACAATAATTGACAGCTTGTCTTTTTCTTTATTTTTTTTCTCTAAAATGATACAAACATTTCAATTTATTCAAAATCACTTGAAATAAAATTCATATTAATATGGTATGATAAGAGATGTGACTCAATCGACCCAATTAGCCCAATAAATCCGGACTTATGCTATAAACTAAAGTAAATGTCTCAGTCTAACCCTGGCCCGGTTTACAAAAAGATCCTCAAATATAAGATTGGAAAATTATATTTGTATCCCTTAAGTTTGCACCGATTTCACATTTGGTCCCTCGTGTTCTTAGAAAACACATTTGATTTCTTATGTTTCAATAACTTAACACTTTCCGTCCTTTCCTTCAATTTTACCGTTAATCTGTCAGTTAAGACATTGTTGGACACATACTTGGTTCCGTTATTACTAATGAAAAATTGATGAAAATAACTAAAAAATGCTGAATTTTTTAAACATGAGGAATCAAATTTTTTTTTCCGAACATGAGGGACAAATGTAAAGCCGTTGTAAAAATGAAGGATGAAAACCGTAATTAATATATATACCACTATGGGAGAGACTCCTGGTACCACTAAATTAAAGCTTAGTTGGTGCACAACATTATTGTGTATTAAATTAAACCATATACTTATTGAATTATTCACCTTTTACCCGTGTTGTTATATAGTTCAACTTGGCCAAGAACAAACAAATTATTTTCTTCAATGATTTCTGCAGAAATAATAAAATAAAAGGTCTAATTGTGTGATTGAATAATATATAATTGTTATTATTTTGTAGCATCTAGGCCATAGTCACATTCACGTGGTCCATATATGCAATTTGAGGCTGAATTTGTTTTAACCCAATTATATCATACGTGCATACCATTGGTATCAATTATTACTTGGAATGTTTTCCCCCTTTCAAAATAGCACTTTTATTTATTTTTTATTCCGCATAATATGTGTTTATTTATATTTTTTTTTTCTTATCTTTTTGTCATTTATTGCAAAAAAACATTTTAATTAATAAATACCCAATACAAAAGTTAAAATATGAAATACAAAAATATCGTGTGCATCTTAGAATCCACAGCAAACCATATAAGGTGCACTGAGAGGCTTACACTCTCGTATAATAGTTTGCAAACCATGCGAGAGACGTAAGATAAACTAGGCTAACCATCCATTTGTGACAAAATCGACCCAGCGATCGTGTTGGCAAGGAGATTCGGATTGGGTTAATTAACGCAGGCGCACTTGCTCTAATCACTTTCTCATTTCAATTCATTGTTAATTTGCACACACACACACACACACACACACACACATATATATATATATATATATATATATATATATATATATATATATATATATATATATATATATATTTTATGGAAATTTAAAAGGCACAAGTGTGTAACAAAATGGCAAATAAAGTGTCCTTTATCTTTTGGGACCGATATCACTATATTTTGAGTTGATAGTATTTAAATAGACTTGGCCTATTATGTAATGTCACATTCACCCATACCCGAACCAAAGGATAAATTCAAAGACTTGGAAAAAAAATTCATTGGGAAGGAAAAAAAATCAGCTACCACAAAAATTGTATGTGGCCATATGCATCACTTTATCACCTTATGGCCAAAATTGCCCATCTCTTCCCCCAATTGCATGGAAACCAAATTTAGGAAAAATTGCAATTATTTGAGCCCTTTTATTTATTTATTAATTTATTTATTTTGTTTATTTAATTAGAAAAATATTTATAGCAACTCACATTTAACATTTTCCTTAGTAGGGGTCTATTATTTATTGGGGATGGACCAAAGTACCATACTTTAGTTCACCAAAGAGGAAGGGTTATATACCTAAATAAATGCATTCAATGTTTAATTTAATCCCATTTTTAATATACCGTTTTAAGTTACATTGGAGTACATGTGAAATTGTTTGCAACACGTGAACTGTTTCGACATTGGATGTGAGAAATGTCGTTTTAATTTTGAAAATATTGTTTCGACTTCGAATTCAATTTTGACGATTTTTTAGTGTGAATTTGGTAAGACTCAAAGCGCGAAATTTGTATTTAATCTTAATTAGCTTTCTAATCCAACTTAAATCACCAAGATTGGATGTCGAGTGAGAAAGTTATGCATGTATGAATCAGTCAGTTTACACTGCCCACAATTTTGATGTTTTGAGTTATCTTAAATAGGGGTGTAAAGCCAAGCTCGAGCCGAGTTTGGCTGTTTTGGCGAGCTCGAGCTGTTTGAATAATTTTTTTTCGGCTCGAGCTCGAACGAACCGAGCTTGTAATGCAAGACACAAGATCATATCATGAAATTAAATGCACTTAGAAGTTTTAGTCCGATGGAAAGATGATGATGTATTTGAATTTTCAATGAATAAAATTTGTTGATTGGAAATTTCATAAAAAATGTACAACAATGACAAATTCAATGATTTTTTTTTTCTTTTGGTGTTGTGACAAAATTAAGAAAAAAGTTGGGATGAGTATCCTAATTAACTACCTTTTTATTATTTATTAATTCACACTAATTTCTCATATGTCTCTCTCATTCACTTCTATAATTAATTTATTTTCTCAAGAAATCACAATTTTGTTGATGTGACTTTCAGACTAAGAAGCTAAGAAGATGAGGTGAAATAGGGTTGAAAAAGACAAATTACTGATAATGAAGGGACTAGAGTGTTACATCTTTCAATTGTTTAGTTTGCGATAATTGCAAAATCCTCCCTTGTATTTTTTTGACTTTCGCAAACAATCTTATGAAATTAATAAAATTTAGTTTTTTTTAAATATTGTTTGTTTTTTTTGACCGGTTAAATATTGGGTTTTTCTTTTTATATAAATTATTGGAGATTGTCTTTATTTTTCGATCACATAAGATTTTGTGCAATGAAAATAGTAGAAGGGTTATTTTTACAGTTAAACTAAACACAAAGGTGTGAAATGCAATAATTCAGACTTCATTTCTAATCTAACCTGTTATTTAGTGAAAATTATGTCCAAGTCCCTCCACATATTTTCATTTTGTTCTTTTGCTCTGAGGGAAGAGGACTTCCACACTTTCGTTTTGGGAGGAATTAGAGTTCATTTTCCCCTTCTCTTTTTTCCTATTGGACTTTTCTTGCATACTTGCAAACCATACATTTAAAATTAAAATCCACAACCTCGATAAATTAATAGTATGGCTTAAAAAATAATTTATTTCGATCCCGACTCGGTTAAAACGTAATTAATTATTAGTACGATGATTTCATATTTCGCTGAATTAATAGAATTTTTTTTGGTTCTGACTGTATTGATTTATAGAGGTTTAAGTGCATATATTTTTTTTCACAAAAATCAATTCTTCTAGATTACATTTCCACAAAATAGGAAAACTCGACCTATATAGAAAAATTCTGATTTCTCGAGCTAATAAAAAAATGTTAATAATTTTAATTGAAAGGTTTTTATTTTTATTTATTTTTAAATTTTTTTTTTATTTGGAAAACAACTTTAATTGAAAGTTTAATTGTATATTATCTTTATTTTGTTTAGTGGGACAGTTTCTAATTTGATGGGCCTCTCCTAGTTGAAGTCCACTAGAAGTAACGGCCCTATTACAACGGAGACCCAATTCACAAGTTGGTTCCACTATCTTATATTATATTAATTTTATATTATTTTTTTATTGTATTTTGTTGAATGTCGTTTTAATTTTGAGTTTTGTCTTTGTGCATTGCACGGATGAGATACTAGGTTAAATTATTTGTTAGTACAGTGAAAATTGAAACCAAATTTCTGATTTTGGTCGATTTTGATTATTTTTTTTCTAATAAAGTTTTTTTTTATAACTTCAAAATTCTTCGATTTGACTATTAGAGTAAAAGTCTCGTTGTTAGGTGAAGTTTGTCACACATGATTAACTTAATATCGTTTACGTCTCTCATATGATTTATAAGTCATTATACCAGAGTGTAGGTTTATCCAGTTCACTAATACGATTTGTTGCTTCATAACGTTTGGATAAAGGGAGATGTACATACTATTTTGGGTAAATTACACCCACACCCCTGAGGTATGCTTAAATAAATTTAAGTTCCCTATGGTATCGATAATTACACTCACCCCCTGAAACGTAGTTAGAAACTCTAACGGGATAATGCATTGGATACATTATTCCGATACGGTTCTAATGGACTATTACTTTTAGCTAGTGGTGGAGATAACATAGAGTTATGGGGAGTTATTGGGTGATATGGCTCCCCCAATATTTCTTAAATCACCCATTACTCTTTGTTGTCTCCACCACTTCCTGAAACCAATAGTCCGCTATAGAACTCTATCGTAATAACATATATCTAATGCATTATCCCATTAGAGTTTATAACTACGTTTCAAGGTGTATGTGTAATTATCGATACTACAGGGACCTTAAAGTTATTTAAGCATACCTTAGGGGTGTTGGTGTAATTTACCCTAATATTTTTTTACTACTTAATTAATTCAATTCGAGTCAAAGCATGCAAATTGCAAAAGAGACAAAAACATCTTCGATTAATTTAATTTATATGCACTGTACACAGCCTACCTAAATTTACTCTTGATCACATAAAGAAACTGATATAGGAAAAAGCATGCATGCAGGCCAATTTAATATATATAATTAAAACCCTAATTCAAATTAAACAGCACTATTTTAATTTTGCTACCAAGAAATTACCAACGGTTAAGACAAATAGCTGATGTCCAAATTTACATTCAACGACCATACCGCGTTTCTTGATTTCTTCAAATCCATATATTTTTACAGCTCAGACAACAAACATTAAAAATAAATTAAATCATTATAAATAATAATAATAATAAAAATAATCTATCTATTACAGCAAAATCTCCTACAAGATCTTGTTAAGAAGCTTCCTTCATACATATTCTGTCATATATGTTTCTTTAGTTTGTCTCTATATGTGTGTGTGTGTGTGTGTATATATATGCACTGCATAATTGCCTTCTCTCCAAACTCACTCTCTGTAATATTAAAAAACACACAAACACACACAATGGAGGTGTCCATGCAAATTATGATGAACGACACCGTATCAACTAGGGTTCCCCTCATGCACAAACATAAGCCATTCTCAAAGAACAAAAAACTTACGACGACGACAATCTCTTGTCAAGTAGCCATGCAAACTCACGACAAAAACACGGCAGACTTTTATCGAATTCTCTCTCTAAAAACGCGAAACGTGGGGTTCGATGAAATCAAGAAAGCTTACAAAACCATGGCTCTTCAATACCATCCTGATGTATGCACTAGTAATACTAATAATAATACTGATTTTCTGACGAAGGAAGAATCGACTAAACGGTTCATTGAGTTGAGGAAGGCGTACGAAACCCTATCCGATCCCTATTCGAGGAAAATTTATGATTCGGAGTTGGGTTCGGGCGACGGCCTGTTTGGGGTCCATTTTCCTAGAGAGGTGTGGGAGAGGCAGCTAAACGGGTTGAGGAAAAGGTCCGGTGAACAAATGAAGACAAGGAGATCTAGATCACCATACGATGAGTAATTAATTAACCACATAATTATTTAACTTATATTCGATCTGTTTATGATGATAATTCATGTAATTAGGGAGTTTATTTCAATTTACAGGGGTCTCATGAAATTGTTTTGTTGATGATTTATTAGTTATATTAAAATAAATGTTTAATTTTAAAATCTAGTTAATTATATAAAGCTAGCACTTATGTTATTGATTAAATTTTCGTCACTATAACCTAATTTAAGCTTATAAATTCTTGTTGCTATTAGTAATATTGTTACTTATTCATAACCATGGTGATCAATACTAGCTTTTATATATATATATGTGAACGTTCTTCTATTCAAATGAAATTTAGAAAAAAAATTCAAGAACTTTGAGTTCTTAAAACAATATTGTTAGAGTGAATAATATGTTAGATATGACTTCGAATATGCCTTCAATTTACTTTTAAATTCAAATAAGATTATGAAAAAACATAAGATATTAGTAACGTTTTTTTCTAATAAACCATCTATATATAAATTTAGATAGGTACGTACAATATTTTGACTAGACAAGTGACAAAATTGATTCTAGTCAATTGAGCTGCCAAACCATAATGGACAAGTACTTTTCTTTGCTTGAACCTTTTCAAACGTCATTAATTAAGAAAATAACATTACTAATTAGTTTATTACATTAAATATAATTAAGCGGAATGAGTTGAAGCTACAATTTGTCTGTGTGTCTTCGTAAGAATACAGATTTATCATTTACTTTGGTCCCATAAGATTTGGTCTTGTTTGTGCTATCGTAATTAACGTGATCTCTCTCTCTCTCTCTCTCTCTCTCTCTCTCTCTCTCTCTCTCTCTCTCTCTCTCTCTCTCTCTCTCTCTCTCTCTCTCTCTCTCTCTATATATATATATATATATATATATATATATATATATATATATATATATATATATATATATATATATACACACACACTGAGAGAGAGAGAGAGAGAGAGAGAGAGAGAGAGAGAGAGAGAGCGAGAGAGCGTGTGAGAGTGAGAGAGAGAGTGAGGGTGAGAGTGGGGGAGGGG